GGATGGGAAGGCAAAGCAAAACAGGAAGTTTTCGGTAGAGGAGGACTATATTAAAACCAACATGTGACACAGTGTGGAAAGCAGGTAACAAATGATGAATGATAATGGAGGAAAAGATGCAGGGGACTGATTTGACAAGCTTTTTAATCTTGTGTATTCAATCATACTTGTGGAGGCAAATCTTAACCAGGCAGTGAGGTTGCATTTTACGTCTGCTTTGTCAGATTGTAAACAACAGCACAATGTGTAAGACAGTGGAGAATCAAACCCCATATGTTCTCAAATCTGCTGAGCCTTTTATATGCCTTTTTTCTTTTTTTAATGAGGAATTCATCAAAGTCAACTCTCCCCTACAAAGACTTTGAGTTTCAACAGATGAACAGGTTTTGATGAAAAAGGCTTTACATGGAAATACTCCCAACTTGCAGTCCTCTGTCGTTAAAGCTCCTGCAGCCCTGTGTGCTGAAATCAGCCACCCTTACTTGCTGGGGAAGCAGGGCAAACCGGGAAACACCCTTGGCACCGTGAGCGGCTGCGAAACCTCGGCACAGCACAGCCTGCAGAGTGAGGAACGAGTGGGACTGTCGACAGAAGTGTGAAGAACACATTGGCCCAAATTCCCTGCAGATCTGGGTTTCTGCATTTCAGAGCCAGGAGAGAAAGCAACGTGTTTCAGCTCTCCCTTCTTTTCCCCACTGCAGCTAGGTGACTGCCTTAGCCTATGCCGTCTTTTTAAGAGTCCCCTAAAACCACGGGCAAATGTGAACTGGAACCCATCACCTCAATCCAACCTGGTGCCTTCTTCACACACTGCAATGCAGACAAAATTGCAAGTTGGCCCATCAAACAGGATTTTGAGTTCAGTGTCAGCTGGGAGCCACTGTGTGTGCAGCAAGGCAGGTTGCCATGGCACAGAGCAACACTAACCCAACAAATAGTTCGCTCAACCCATTTTCCAGCATTGCCATTAGAATTCTAGATTGTTGCTCTTTGACAGGACATCCCAAATGGACATGAACAACACACAAGCTTTCCAGCTGAAGGATGGCTTATATTATCCACCCTGTGGTGCAAATCAGAGTAATAAGCAGTAATCAGGAGGCAGGTCATTTTGGTCCTTCAAGAAGGACTAAACTCAAAAGTCTTATTTTGTGGAAGGAAGAGTTTTACTGGCTGTAGTGATTTACTCTAAGTAATGTACATGGAACATAGCCTAGGTCATAGAACCAAATTTGCATAATTAAAATTAGAATTTAAAAAAAAAAAATTAAAAATGCATATAGGAATCTATCAAAGATAGCGTGAAAGTAAGACACCCATTGCTCCTGAGCAAAGAAAGAATAAACCATGATTGAAAGTTTAGCCTGACCTGTTTAAGCATGTTAAGTTAGTTCTCAGTTATTTTGTAATGAACTTGTAAGTGGTTATTCAGCTTGGTCCCTGTGGCGGATACTCTACATGTCAGAGCATGCAGAGCTGGAGTATAGACAGAGCGATATGCACACGGTGGCAGCACTTAGAATACAGCAAGTCTGCTTCCCAAGTCTTTTTTCCTAGTGTATTCTTGACTCCAGCTCTGGTAGCCAGTTTTGCTGGAGGAAGACTCTTATTTGAGTCACACATTGTTTTACTGTTTTGAACAACAAAACACTAGAGGGAAACACGGGGAGCAGGTAGAGTCTGTCTTCCCAGTTTCACCAGTTTTCAGTGTTGCTCACATTCAGGTGGGGGTGCTTTGTCTTCTGTTGTCCCTTCTATCCCCATCTAAGGCCTGCAGGAGTCTCCAGAAATTACAATAGCGACCTATTATAGATACCACGTTAACATATTTTAAAGAACTCCCCCCCCCCAAAAGGTTACTTTTGGCTAAAATATTTTTTGTGCTAGTTCTGGCAAAGTTTAATATGTTTTCACAGTATTAAAAAATCAATATTCTCTGTGCTAGATTAACTTTTATTATTTCAATAAAAAAATGGATAGTATACAAAAAATGTAAACATAGATTCCTTAAAGACTGTCATCTGCCTTGCTTCAATAAAAACTATTATGCAAGTTTAAGGGTGCCTAAAAAGAAAACTGAAACCTGAATGTTTATAGGTGTGAACATGTGAATGCTGAATAAAATTCAAACAAGAATATGATGCAACATTTGGTTGCCTACGTATTTTTATGGTACCATCTTAAGGATTCAGATGGTGTTTCTTCAAAGGAAGCCAAGTCCCAAGAAAAACAGGTGTCCCTTGGAGGACCTGCTGGATCTCTCTATGTGAGGTAGCAAAAGGAACTTGCAGCTTGTTCTTCCACTTTTGTGGGTAAAAGAAGAGATTTCTGCTGCCTGAGCAATTGCTCACTTGGTGTATGATCTTTAGCACATCGTAAATACCCTTCCAAAGTCACTTCCTATGAAGTGTTGAGTATCTTCAAGCAATATTAAGGTAATGTAGAAACATTTCACTGAAGAAATATAAATTTCCCTGTTGGTAAAGAAAATAAAAAATAAAATAAAAATATAATTGTTATTGCATGTAGTTCTACCCCAAACTCTTCCAACTCCTTGGATATTAGCTGCAGTCTGGACACTCAAAAGGGGAATCCAGCATTGTTTAGTATCTGTCCAAGGGCCATTGAGATTATTCAGAATGGTATCCATCTCAATTACCTTAATTAATAGCCTTAAATTTGAATATCTAAAATAATCCTCCAGATTTTCCTAAGGAGAGTGGAGAGGCATAAGCATCTACGAATGCCACTTTATTCCTTTCTAAGGTGAGAACATTAAAAGGGGAACAGCAACTCTAAAATGGTCAAGCGGTATAGTTATCACAATTTGTCCTTGTGACTCTCTGCAGTCACCTTAGGCAGTTGTCACACTTTCACTTTGTGGAAGCTGAATTACTGGAGTACTGATTTTCAAAAGCAAGCACTGTCACATGAAGCAAGCTTTAACTGTCTGGAGGAGGATGGCCAGAGGTTTACTTATGATTGCAAATGACCAGCATGTCATCCAGCCTCAGCCTGGAGCCGCAGAACCACTGAGAAACTGAAGCATTACCTCAACCATCCCAATCCCTGAAAATGAGCTTCTCAGTCAATGCCTAGGAATATTAGCCACAGGAGCAGGAACAGTTTCTTTATGATAAATTAACTTCCAGTTGGAGCCCTTTAGCCAAGATGATATATGTTCAAATCCTATACTTTAACTCAGGCAGAAGTTTTGCATAACCTTTATGCAAAAAACCTAAGAGATTAGATTCTACGGGCTTTGCAATGCAAATTCATGAATCAATCAATTGTAATAGCCAAAACTGACTTGACAACACAACAGGGTTTTTTTCTTCATTTTCCTAGTACAGATTACAAACACATCCAGGAAATCACTCAGCATACACAGAAATACACTCAGTATAAGTGTGTTCACCAGAAAGTAACATTTGTTTTTCTGGAGTATGCCTCTGAGAAAAGTTGTTTTATTTAAACAAGAAGAGAAGAGAGCAGATTATAAGTGGGTTTTTTTCCTCTTGCAAGCTTAATCAGGCTTAACAGGTACAATTTACCACTGGAATAATAGGAAAGAATAGGAAAATATTTGTTATCTATTATTTGCATTACTACAGCACATTCAAGCACCTGTCAGTGAGCACTCCATAGATATGGAACATAAACACATTCCCTGCCCAAAGAGCTAACCTGCTGTGCAGGCCAAGAGGCACAATCCCATCTAGACAATCATAAGGAGCCAGGAACTACTAGGAAAAGTATGGTCAGCATGATGAGCAGATCAGTGTAATTGCTCTTAATTTTATTACTTAATTCAAAATAATATTGCATCTAAACATTTTATAAATTATAGTTGTGGGTATGCTGATTAAGAATTTTTTCCATTATTTGTTTTTCTAAATATACCTTTTAACAAACTAAAATCTCCTGCAGTGTAGTGCCACTGTTTTTTTAACTCAACATCAAAGGAACAACTTCCCAAACTTCTGGAACTGCTGGCAAATCCAAGATCTCACTTGTATCACTATTGCTTCAACCACCCATAATAATTTCCTTTTCCCCATAATCTTCATCTAAAGAGCACACTCCTCTATCAGCTGGGCAGCCCTTGCCTGCCACCCCAACCCCAGACTTTTCTGCACTGTAATAACACTATCAGTCTAGAGAGAGGAGAAAAATCCTACAGAAACCAGTGTTTTAGCTCAGTATTCTCCAGATTCTGGGGCCGATTTTGTCAAGACTTCATTCTGGATTTATCTGTTCCCCTATGGCTTTTGGCAGCTCTGAGATTCCTGCTGACTTTACCAAAAAAAGGAACCTAGTTTATCAGAAAAGCAGGAGTATAACCCTGACGTATGAGAAGAAGGAAATCTTGTGCAGGCAGTCAGTAGAAGGGGAAGGAAAGCCCAAAGGAGTTACCAACTCTCATTCCATTTCACATTGCTGAAACTGGCTATTTGAATACACTTGTAGGTCTTTTGTGTTAATTAGATATTATTTAATAATCTCAATCACTTCCTAGGGATCAGTGGCTCAATACAGTCCCCGTGATACCTCACACCATTCATGTTTTCCTCAAATATCCCGAATTAGTCATTATTTGTACCACCTGAATTGTTCAGGGACAGTCAGAGGCTGAAACTGGTAAATATTTTATATACGGGCAGGTATTTAGGCTTTTCCTCACCATAACAAAGTTTAAATCTCAAGCTTGAGCTGTCAATGCGGGTCCTTTCCTTTTTAAAAAATTATTATTATTATTTATTTTAGGACTTCTAAAAATCCCACGTTGGGTTTTTTGTGGTCTTTTTTGCTTTAGTTTGGAGTTCGGTTTGTGTATCTCACGGCTGCTGTTGCTCCCCCCTCTCCCGAAAGGAGATCCCTGGACAGACGCGCGGGGGCAGCGGCCGGCCCCGCGGTCCCCCCGCCTCCAGCAGCGGCACAGCGCCCCCGCCCTGGAAACCCCTCGGGATTCCCCATCCTGCCGCCGGCCGGAGCGCGCCCATCGTGGAACCCGCGGGAAGCGGCGCCCGGCGTTCAGGCTCCGCCGCGTCGGGGCAAGCACAGGTGCGGCGCTGCCGGGGCGGAGAGCGGATCGCGGGGCTCCGGCAGCGCTCGCCGCCGCCGGCTCTCCCCTCGCACGGCGGCCGGGAGCGGCTCCGCGGCCGAAACACCGCACGGTGCGGCTCCACATGCCGCGGCTCCGCTCGGCGCCAAGGTGAGTCTCCGGCAGCACCACCTGGGCCGCGAGGGGGGCGACAGGAACGGGGGGCCGAGCGGATTCTCCCAGCGGGCTCCCAGACAAGGCCTGCCGGCAGCGGCGGCTGATCCGGAGCGCGGGGGCGGCGGGCGGGAGCCGGGCGGGGCGCGGGCGATGGCGGGGCCGCCCCTCGGGGCAGGCGCGGGCGGCGGCTCCCCCGGGGCCGGCGGGGCTTGGTTTCTCCTGCCAGCGGAGGCAGGGCCAGGCGCGGCGAGGGTGGGCGCGGAGTTGGCGGCGGGGCTGGGGGCAGTCGGGGTCGGCGTGCTCCGCGGAGTTTGTTCCGCAGGCCGGGCGGGAGGTGAGGGACGGGGTCCAGGACCAGGACCGGGCTTGGCTCCGCTCTGCTCCGCGGGGGGTTTGCGGGCGGGAGTTTGCAGCGTCGTGGCGCGGAGCGGAGGGGAGGGGAAGAGCCCCGGGGTAGGGACGGCAGGTGGGGAGCAACGGGACACGGTGGGTGGCGGCGGGTTAGACCCTTCGCTCCCCTTCCCTCGCTTTCCTCCCGTGCTACACCGGCGGAGTCGACGGCCGGCTGAGAAGGGGGCGGCGTGAGCTGGAAGTGGGCGAAAACTTGTTCCTTGGCGGGTTCGCCCGCTCTGCCGCGGGGTCCGTGCCGCTCGGGCGAGCCGCGTTTCAGAGGCGAGGCGCGGGCCGGGGAAAGGCGGGTGGGCGCAGGCAAGCGGAGCCGCGCCGCCCCGCCGCTGCCGTCTCGCTTTCCTCCTCTGCCACAGGTCTCGCTGCGGGAAGCGGAGCGGAGCCAGTCCCGGAGGGGACCCGCCCGGAGAAGGGGCTGCCCGAAGCCGTCCCCCGTCTCGCCGCACCGCCCGGAGCCGGAGGCGCCCGGGGGCGAAAGTTGGTCGCGGGGCCGGGCCGGGCGCGATGCCGAGGCGCGGCGCGCTCTGCCTGGGGCTGCTGCTGCCCGTCCTGCTGGGCTGCGGCTCGGCACAGCAGCCCGGCGGCTGCCCGGAGCTCTGCGAGTGCTCGGAGCCGGCCAAGACGGTGAAGTGCGTGAATAGGAACCTGACGGCGGTGCCACCCGACCTGCCGCCCTACGTCCGCAGCCTCTTCATCACCGGCAACCCCCTGACCCACGTGCCGGCTGGCGCCTTCTCCGCCCAGCGCCTGCCCGACCTCAGCGCCCTCAACCTCAGCGGCAACCACCTGCAGGCCGTGGAGGCCGGCGCCCTCGCCCTGCCCGCCCTGCGGCAGCTGGACCTCAGCGGCAATGCGCTGATCTCGCTCAGCCCACAGGCCTTCGGGGATGGCGGCAGTCCCCTTGAGGAGCTGGCCCTCCGTGGAGCCCTGCGCGACCACGGCGTCCTCTTCAGCCTAGCCACCCTGCTGCAGTCCGGGGCCCTGCGCAACCTCAGCCGCCTGGACCTGGCCGACAACGGGCTGCTGGTGCTGCCCGCCGGCATGTTCACCGCCCTGCCCGCCCTGCGGCAGCTGGACCTCAGCAACAACTCCCTGGTGGGGCTGCAGAACGTCTCCTTCCAGGGACTGGGCCATCTGCAGAGCCTCAACCTCAGCAACAACTCCCTGGCCGTGCTGTGGAACAGCACCCTGGCCCAGTTCCGCAGCCTGCCCACCCTCCGGCACATCGACCTGGGCCACAACACCTGGGTCTGTGACTGCCCCATTGAGGACCTGGTGGCCTGGCTCAAGGAGAGTGACCAGGTGGAGGGCAAAGAAGCCCTGACTTGTGCCTACCCTGACAAGATGTTGGGTAAAGCCCTGCTGAAGATCAACAGCTTGGACCTGAACTGCTCTGTGCCCATAGACCTGCCTTCCCAGCTCCAGACTTCGTACGTCTTCCTGGGGATAGTCTTGGCTCTCATTGGGGCCATATTCCTCCTGGTTTTGTACTTGAACCGAAAAGGAATCAAAAAATGGATGCACAACATCAGAGATGCCTGTAGGGATCACATGGAGGGCTATCACTATAGATACGAGATCAACGCAGACCCCAGGTTAACAAACCTCAGCTCCAACTCAGATGTCTGATAAAGTGCCCCAGATGCAGGGCAGAGCACAGTACCTATGCATGAAAAGTAGACTTATGCTTTACCCTCATGCTTGCTTCCCTTTCTTCTGAGAAGTCTCAGACATGCTTGTACCCTGGGGTGGATATGCCTCCCTGTGATTTCAAGTTCATTTTTGTTTTGAGAAGCTGGACAGCTGAGCATGACGTTCAGCTGTATGTAGGAAACAAGCTGCTACCTATTTTCTGCCTTGCCTGTCTGTACTTGTGGGAAATTTTTTTCAAGATGTCAGAAGAAATGAAAGAATTTTCTCGGATGCTCCAAAGCCACCAGAGTTTATAGAACATTTACCGACGCAGATGCCGTTCAACAAAAGCTGCCTCAATTTTTTGGGAAAAAGATGTTACGTCCTTCTGTGCCAATTTTGGTCTTGTATATCGGAATTGTGATGCGATGATTACATTTCACAGACTACTTTGAGATTTTAAGAAACAAACTCCTTTTAAAAACTCCTCATTTATATAGGAGGAAACTGAATAGTGAGCATGCACAAATACTGTATAGTTTTACATGTTAGGAAATTTATGATCTCAGTAAGTCTCTTACTATTTTGTAGATATTTTTGATTGCAGTTTACCTGAATTGAGAGATTTTTTTATACAAACTGCGTCTAAGCTGCATCTCCTTCTGAACTGTTCAATTCAATAAACAGTCTTACAAGAACTGTTGCGTTTGCTGTTCAATGAGAAATGTATGGACATCTAAGAATGTGAATAGCACTATGGTCTCAGAAGTAATAGCTCTGCAGTAGTAATATGAATAAAATTTTATATGAATATGTAGCTTAGAGACATATGTTTGACATATTTTGTGATATATGCTAGAAGAATTACACTGATCAATGATGGGAGCAGTTTTGTTTGGCACAAACCCCGCAGTCTGCTCTCAAAACAACTGCAAGACGTTGAGACATGCTAAGGTCCACCTTGCTGGGAAAGTACAAGCTAATAGAATTTTCAGAAGGGCTTCTCCAAATTAAAAAAAAAAAAAAAAATTCTGGAGTTTGTTAGCTAAAGAAAATTTTACCTGAATTTAATTATTTATTATAAAAAAAACATACTTAGGTGCCCTGAAGTAAATGAAATGCAACTCATTTGTACAGTTGGCAAGCTTTAGGCTTATAAATCACTGCAGCATTTATTAGATTGCTAACTGTTTCCTTTTTAAGGTCTCTGTACTCGTGAAGTTCTGCTGTGATCTACATCTAGTAACTTGATGGAACTTTATCTTAAAGCATTTAACAGGTGCATTTCAGTATGGTATGGTACTCATGCTTCTTACTTGCTTGGGAATGCATTTTCTTGTAAATAGATAAAGCATGCAAAAAACCCTTTAAATGCATAATTTAATATGCAATTATGATGACATATAAAAAGATTAGCAAGGATCTTCCAATGGCTGCCAATAATCAGTGCACTTTTTCTAATCTATTTATAGTTTCTTAATGAAAAAAAAATACACCAGCTGTAAAAGTGATGTGACTTATTATATATCAGTTTATCTGTGGAGCTTTTTCCATGATCACTGTTACTTGAAGCTCTTGAGCATCTCTCAAATTTTATGAATTACTGGCTAATTCTTTTCGCTTTCAAAAGTGACAGCTTTCTCAGATGTGTGGTTTTGGTAAGAGCTCATAAATATAAAATAGCCCTTAAAGTACCAGAAGAACCATAATCTGTTTGGGCCATCAGTATTATTCAAAAGCATTTTTCATCTCTGCAACTTTAGACAAAGCAAATAGCACAAGTTGGTTCAGACTGATTTTCTATTGCTTAAAATTGGATTTATTTAACAGTAGTGATTTTTTTATATAGCTTCGTGCATTTACCCTTAAAAGGAAAAAAAACAATGGATATTAAATACAATTAATGTATTGTAAATCAGTATATTTTACAATTAATGTAAGTTAAGTGATAACCTTTCTCTCCTGCTGTCATTTAAATGTATGAGCAATATCTAGTTAACAGCATATGAATTAAGTTTGTGGATTCTTAAAAGGCAGACTGCTGGTCTGAATGTTAGCTGCCCATATTTAAAGAATAGCATAAAAATACCAGTGTGAAGAACTATTATTGTGCCCCTATGCAAACTGTTCATACTTGGTGTACATCAGATAGTTTATGTAAGAAGCTAGAATTTACAGTAGTTACACGGTGTGCTTCGTTGTATCGGTCATTTCGGAGATTATCAATTTACACTTACTTGTATGGTGCCAAGAGGAGTAGAGCATCATCCTAGTTTCAGATGCTCCTGTAATACAGTAGACAAAATATGTATAAACCAAGCCAATTCTTGGGCATTTTCCTGAGTTTTGTTAACAGACACTTTAAAGTAACTACAGTAAAAGCAATTATCCGTGATGTGTTAATGTAACCCTGTGCATTTATAGAGCTGTGTAAGGACAGGCAACAACTTTACTTGCAGTTTCGCACCAATGGAGCAAGTATTTATAAAATGGGCAAGTGTAAACTGTTATACTACACTTATTATTCTAAAGATTATTATTACTATTATTTTTGTAACTTAGAAAGTCAATGTAACAGAAATTTATTAGAGATCTGGTAATTGCTACTTTAAAGCAATTTTTGTCATTTGCTTACATGTGTATTTATTAGGATGTATCATTTAGCATGTGTCAGTGTTGTGGTGGATAATGTTCTCCTACTGTGTTTGACCAGCAGTGAATGCTTTGGTGTTTTGTACAATGCATTATTTGATCTTAAATCCCTTTTCATAAACAGTGCTTGAAATTTGTTTTGCTTTCCTTTCACACTTAACAGTGGTACTCTGAAGACACAGAAAAAGCAGCTCCCACAGTACTTGGGAACTTGGTTAAAAACTATAAATCTAAAATAACATGAGTGTAAAGGTTCTTCTGAAGCACATTTTATAATCTTAATCTTACTCTGCTTTGACACCAGAAATTCTAATTGATTGCTATTTCCAGAGCAGCTTAATTAGCAAGGCTGTTTTTTCATCATTCTTCAATAAAACATATGCAGTACTAAATGCTTCTAAAATGTTTTTTGTATACATAAACCCTTAAAAAGTTCTGTATGACACAGTTGTCACTGAAAAACATCCAGACTAAAGTAGTGGGCAAAGCTTCAGGGAAGGCTGCAAAGCTAAGAAGTGGAAAGGATGATTTTTTCCAAGGTTCAGCTGCTTTATTAAAACTATTTTTGGTTGTAACAAGCTTAAAATTTTCTTAGAATAGCACAAGGAATTGACATAGTTTTAATATATTTTCTTAAAATACTTTCAATCAGTGCTGTTGCCAGGTAAGAAAATCCACAAATCCTTCTTTATCCAAGGTAGCTTTATATTAGATCATCTGGCATTTTTTTCACCAAGCCATAATATTACCAATAATTTTGGCATCCAGAAAGTGGTTTGAAGTTTTGTAGAAGTGCTTTAAATGTTTTCATTCAGGGTAATTTACCTTTTAAGCACTGGTGACAGTCCCCATTGACGTGACAGCTACTGTAGCAGTCTGTTCAGACCCGTATTCTGTTGTTGACTGAGATGTCACTGAAAACAGGCATTTTATTCAAAATTTTATTCAAAATATGACTGCACTAGGATCCCAGTCCTCATTATTCTACCAGCATTTTCCCTGTAGTATACTCTGGTCTTTATGCATCTGCATAATTTCTTTTTTGCCTCATTTTCTCAGGAAATCCATTAAAAAGAATATCGTGAATCTGCACAGGTAGAGAAATCAGTCTGACTGCACCTATGTATTGAGGTTTAGCGTCTTCATTTCCCTTCAAACCTTAATTTGGAAAAAAGAGCCTTTGTCAAACTGGACAGAATGAAAATTTGATATGCACTTTTTTTCTCTTTAGCAGCTGAATGTTCAAGAAGAACCATTCATTCTCAGCATATGATGAAGGAAAATAGCGTTTGGTAAGAAAAACGTTTTGGTTTCAAGCTTCAAAATGACACTTATATTCTATGAGAGAAGGTGGAAGGCAGAACCTTGTAAAGGAAACAGGTTTCTCTTCGTAATGGGTCAGCACTGGAAATCACAACGCTGTGAATAGGAACAATTGCTGATTGATTCTGTCCGTTATGTTCTAGTCATTTTTATAGATCTAATTTCTTCCTGTTGCTATAAATAGATTTTGCTAACAAGCTGCATCCCATCTTACAATATCTGTAATGCAGGTGTTTCCAAAGTGAGTTTCTTGTTAAACATCATAGAAGATTTAATTTAATTCAGTGCCTGCTGATTTAATAATGACCAGATCAAGCCCATAACTTAATGCTCCTTTTTCTTTTGCAAACGTTCTGCTTACTAGTTGCCAAGACCTTGGCTTGAAATCAAACAATAAAAGCCCACCAAGGAAGAGAGAAAGCAGAATGCTTGGAGAATGTAGCATTTATCAGATATTTCGCACAGAAAAGAGACCTAAACCACGTGGGAGCTGAGGGTCCCTTTGGTGATACAGAAGTAAGTGTACTCTGTTAGCTTCTTAAGTCAATACAGCAGTAGCAGAAAAGTGATGCTTTGTATCAACACAATAATCCTAACAGCACTTCTCTCGCACATTGGCAAAAACCCCACCAACCCTTTAGAAGTAAGAATACGGGTTTGCAGTATAAGTATGTCCTTAAAAAGGACTTCGACTTTCTCAACTGTGTTACAATTTACGTGTTGTCACATCCTTGGAAAACCTTGCTATGCCAGAAGTCATCTGTTGCGTAGGCAAAGCTTGAAATCAGGCCTTGCATTCCTAATGTTAGCCTAAATAGAAATAACGAGCTATTAAGAAAATTAAACCAGTAGTTTAGACAGTGTACTCATGGTACGGTTAATAATTTAATACTTGCCATTATTCATATTTTTCAAAGTATTCACTAGATAGCTTTTCCTTTCTGATGATAGACTAGCAGAATAACAGATTTGTCTTTCTAGTAATTATGCATGAAAGCATCTGAATAAATTAGCAATACATACAGTGATGAAAATGCTAGAAATCTTGTATTCTAGAATGTTTCACTATTACAGAAATTTTGGATGTGCGAAAAACAGCTGTAACTTTTTCAAACTGAAGTTTGGTTTCCTAATTAAAAATTATTCTTGAAGAAAACCCCAATAAAATACTTACCAGATTGCTTATAAATGTTGTATGTTTACCCTCTTGATTTTATTCCTGTAAATCCTTACAGATACTGAGGTCTTTACTAAAAGTGTAGTTTGTATTCTTTTTAGCTTAAATTGGTGATTGTGCTGTGGATTTGCATGACAAAATAGGAAAAAAGCAAAGTCCATCTAGACAGCCTGTTTGATTTGTTTAGAAAGAAATTTGGCCAGTGAATAAAAGGAACTGCGTTTTAAGTGTTATTGTTATTTTGGACATAATTCGATAGATTTTTGGGTTTTAATATATGGGGTATTGATTTTCAAATTTCTAATTCTAAATTTAACAGTTATGTATTTTCTGCTTTTTAATGACTAGATCAAACTGTGTTTTAAAGTCTTCAAATACATATTTACATAGTGAAATATAGAGGCACTGTTATTACTGATGGAACTATTAATGAAAAGTACTGCTGAAACAGAGAATGGAGGGTGAAAACCAGAGGGAAAAAAAGCATTTTGATGCTCTTCAACTTCTTTGAATGCAATTATGTATGTTGTAATGACATGGAAATTCAAAGGGAAGCACGATTTATCTTTTCGTAGATAGCTAGTGCAGATGTCTGAAATTTTAAAAGGTAGGAGTGATTTTTTGGGGCTGTCCCAGGAGCACAGCTGGTAACTTAGTCTTGTGTTTTCTACTGGGTTTTTTTTCATATTCCTAGGACAGCAAACATGGAAGACTGTTTGGGTTTGCACATGACAGATTGATCTGTCCTAGGTTTTATCATAGGACTGCTCTGTCTTAGTATCTGTCCACAGTCTACTTCAGGTGTTCCATTTGTTCTAATAGAAATTCTCTTCTGTGGCATAGCAGGGCATAGACCATGGTAGCTTTGCATGACATCGTGGGCATGTATACAATAAAGAACTCATATGTCAAACTGACATTATCAGATGTCAAATAGACATTTCAACAGAAATGTCAGTGTATATTTCATGCTGACAATGTAAACCCATCAAGTAATGGTAGTGAAATAGTAAAATAAGAAAAAATACCATTTATTGCAAGAATGCTGTAAGCAGTCTGAAGACTGCTAAGAACAGACACCACTTTGGGGCATGTGAGTAATTTAAGCTTGTTCTGAAGACAGAAAAAGAAAGAAGAAGTAGTTACTGCATTGACAGTTTTCTTCAGGTAGGTGTCTTCATTCATTCTCCTTAATAGGAGCAGTAACCGTATCCTACAGATAGTTATACATTTAAGTCAGGGACTTTACCCCAGTGATTTTCTGGTTCTCTCTTTTCAGAGGTGGGTGCTTTTGTGAACCTGGAGGGGAATAAGAGCTCTTAAACATCAGAAAAAAAGAATTTTTATTTTATATGTACAGATATGCATTTCACAAACACACACACGCATACATGTATAAATATATCTATATAATGTAAAACTAGGAGACTGAAGAGAAGTAGAATCCAAGGCACACTGATCTCTCCAGAACATTCTGTTGGCTAGGTTAGGGTCCTATATTTTTTCACACTTTGGAAAGGGGACCTAAGTGCCTAAATGGAGTGGGTATACCTCTGAGAAGCACTTAAGACACGCTTGATGTTGCTGCACACCTAGTGTGACTATTACCAACAAGTTCACACAAATTGCTGCTGAGTGGCCAAGATTTTCCAAAGTAGCCCCAGTCTGAGGTTCTGCTTTCCAAGTAGCATAAAGGGGCTTTATTTTCAAAAGTTGTTGAACACCTTTTGGAAAATTATACTGGTGAATTGAACGAAATGTGGAAAAAAAACTTCAGCATGAAAAGGCATATGTTTGGTATACACTTGAGAGAAAATATAAATACTTGTAAGAACGTCTGAAATTCTCTAGCCTTTTCTCTCTTTGTCGTTTCTCAGATTGAGATCTCTAACACCATCTATCCAGAATATCCTTCCTCTCCTCCATCTTATTTAATCATCCCTAACCCAGATGATTTGTTTCCGTCACCTTTATGACCAAACTTGGTTACTTCACATTGGTAAGCAAAGGTAGGAAACAAGTCATGCATAAAATCAAATATTGAATTTTTATGACCAACCAGATTAAGGTTTTATCTGTTGTTAGTCTTTCATTCAGGTTTTCCCTTTTCCTGTTTGTCCCTTTCTGTTTAGTTTTTCAGTGTACTAAAAAGCTACTGTGGTAGCCCAGAGGAACTCTCTGATTCCGACTTCCAGTAACGAACAAGGAGATCTTTTTTTGAGACGATAGTCTCAAAAAAAACTTGCAGAAACAGTGTTCAAACTTTTCTGACAGGATAGTAAAATGTCACTGAAAATAGCTCTGCTAACATATTCATTTGTCAGAAACGCTACATGTGCAGGAAAAGCTGGAATGCTGAATTTGTGATACTGATATAGATGCTGTTTAACGAGCCTGTGAGGTTTCTACCTCTGCTCCGATTTCTCCTCCCTGCAGCCACACACACACTCCAACATGCTTGAACAGGACTTGGATGAGTTTAGGACAGGCATTCAGCAGATTGTAGTAATTTATTTATGTTATGAATCATGTGTGAAGTCCCTTATTTTGAGGCATATAAAGAAATATGTTCTAGTACTTGTAATTTTTAACATAGAGAAAACTAGCTGGCATACGCCTGGTTTCATAACTTATCTGTAAATACAAAAAAATGCTCTGAATTTGAGTTTGCAAGGAACAGATGTCTTTCAGCAAGCTTGAGTGTAAATTCAGCAGGATTTCCAATTTAATCCAGGAAATGATGACACAGAAATTTACTGCAAGCAGAGAAATGACTCGTTCTTCATCGCACTTATGCGGACTATGCCTTTTCTATGAAGCAGTGAAAGGTATTTTATCTCCTAGGTTTCCAGGGAGACAATCACAATCCAGTAGGGGTTACTGTTGTTCTTAATAAAGCTCTCTAGATTTTGTAGTTTTAGCAATTTTTCTGATCAAAATCACAGAGATAGCAGATAGGATTTGATAAATGACACTGAGTAACGTGAATTGATGTGACCTATTTCAAACACTCACAGATGATGCAGTGGTGCACCAGCTTAAAGTAGATGGTAATAGTGCTTTCACCAGCTAGAATCATTTTAACTGGCAGGAAAAGACTCAAAACTGAGTATTAGTAAATGTAGAGAGCTATACAAACTATGCTTAGCATTTAGCAGTTCAGATAGGATATAGGATATCAAAAAGGTTTCATTTATACGTGTGAAGCACCACCTCCACCACAGTAATTCTACTTTGTTTTTTTTTTAATACAAGTTGTGTAGGAATTCGCAGAAATCTCTGTGTCTGCCCTGTGGTTTAGATGGAAAATTGAAGCAAATGACAACTGATTAATGTAAATCAAATTAATAGCCAAAAATCTTACCTCACAAGATAATACTAGTTATTGATCTTATTATTAATGAGAATTTGAGAAATTTTGTTCACATAAATATATTTGCCTTACATGTTTTTTTATCCTTATATGTTAGTGAAAACACATAAATTTGCAGAGGCAATGTTCAGTACAAGGAGATCAGTGGATACAACAATGCTACTGAGGACCCACCGGTCTTATTTTCCTTATTTTGCCATTTGAAGGGGGGAAGTAGAAAAGGGAAAATCTTTGACGGAACAAACTGTTAAAGAAAGGAAGGTGGTACAGCCAGAAATCTCCTCTAATGACAGTTCTTTTTTCATTTACTGAAGAATGATGTGGCAACATTAGTGATGCTGAAGTAGAGGATAGTAAGGTTTCTTTCAGACGTTTCACAGAATCACAGAATATGCTGAGTTGAAAGCAACCCACAAGGATCATCGAGTCCAACTCCTGGCCCTGCACAGGACACCGAGAGTCACAGCCATGTGCCTGAGAGTATCATCCAAATGCTTCTTGAATTCTGTCAGGCTTGGTGCTGTGACCACTTCCCTGGGCAGCCTGTTCTAGTATCCAACTACCTTATGGGTGAAGAATGTTTTTCTAATATCCAACCTAAACCTCCCCGACACAGCTTCAGGACATTTCCTTGGGTCCTGTCACTGATCACAATAGAGAAGAGATCAGTGTCTGCTCCTCCTCTTCCCCTCACAAGGAAATTATAGACTGCAATGGGTCTCCTCAGTCTCCTCCGCTCCAGGCTGAACAGACCAAGTGACCTCAGCTGTTCCTCATACGGCTTCCCCTCAAGGCCCTTCATCATCTTCACTGCCCACCTTTGGGCGCTCTCTAAGAGCTTAATATCTTTCTTATATTCTGGTACCCAAAACTACACATAGTATTCAAGGTGAGGTCACACCAGTGCAGAGCAGAGTGGGACAATCCCCTCCCTTGGAAGTTTCAGGTTATTTAGGTTTACTCAGAGTTTTGCATTGCTGGAGCCACAGCTAATTAATGCATTAACATTTAATCTAGGTCACCAGAAAATACTACTGCCAGAATGTGCTATACATTTTCTTCCTGTAGTTTTTACACAGTACTCTGTGCCTTCCAGTAATGCATGAAGTGGTTGTTGTTCTCTCCTTCCCCTCCCAAGGGAAGTGTGTACACTGGCTGAGGGAAATTGTCTTGCCTTGTGTTTCTGGGAAAAGTCATAAGCAAAGTAAAGCACCTTGTACTTACGGGTTGATTTGCTTTATGGTACTTTCTAATTCCTGTATGAATAAGTTCCTTTGAAAAGCCTACTGCTTGGAAAAGTTTTATCTCCTGTGCAATAAGCCTTTTGACTGCTTTAGAAGTAAATGCTAGGTATATTCTTCTCCTCTTTAATTTAGTCCTAAATGTTCATCTTTCCAAAGGAATATAATAAATAGTCTTAAAATTGTCTTTTGCATTGTAAATGGAATGTCAGCTGTGCATAAATTTGGTAGCATGATGAAACTCACAAGAATATTATTGTTTAGAAACAGTGAAAAAATGAGTAAAGATCCTACCAAATAAAGTACATCACAATAAATAAACTCCCTCTATAAGACTAAGCTTATAGCGTCGCAAACACCCCCACTGCTCCTGGTAGCACTGCTCCAAGCAGAAAGCCCAGTGTTATGATAAAGTCAGCTCTCAGGGCTAAGTGTTCCAACAGCAAAATGAAGTTTGCATTTTTGTACTGGGTCCATTCTGTGAGTTGGCTACAGTATTGATTTTTGCAGAAGGCCAGACCATAGGCAAAGCTCTGAAATGTGGGTGCCATAATACCCTGTAAACTCTTCTCTCTCCTGTCTCTCTTTCTCCCCTCTCCCTTCTCTTTCCTCT